TTCTGCCTCAGAGATGGAGACAGATTTTTCCACCAGAATTGCTGCCTGACCCGGGCATCAGCTTTGTATCCGCTCTGTCTATACATTAAGTCATCGTGGCAAATTGACATACCTTTTCGACGTAGCACTGCATGACCTGCTAATAAAACATTACGACATGTATCGATGTTTTTCCATAGAGTCCCCCCCCACACCTTTATGTAAACGGAAACCGTTTTGCTTCGCCTCCCTTGCCATGGCTCTTTCTGCGATGCCAGCACAAGAGGAGCCAAAATGGAATATCCCTGCGCCATGGCGCCAGCTCATATCAGCTTTCTGCCAATGGATATCATGTCAATTTCATAGAGTCCATGGTATCTGCGTTAACTTCATCAGGGTACAAACTGGAGATCTTGAAAGAGCGTCGGCTACTCTATTTGTACTCGCTTTACACTGCTGTACTGTAAAAGCGAATTCAGCGAGAGGTGCGGGTGCCCATCTGACGTACTTTCAGTGAATGTGCTTTTTCTTATGAAGCCAGCTGACAGAACTGTTACCCGTTATTAGCAAGAATTTTCCTCCATGAATGTACGGCCTCAGTTTCTGCAGTGGCCGTACTACAGCCAAGCATCTCTGCTCACTGAATGCCATTTCCTCTAAGCGGCGGATATTCTTCAGCTACGGTAGGATGCTACTCCATCCTTCCTTCTTTTCCTCTGCATAAGCACTGCTCCAGGTTTCAATGCTGGCGTCGGCACGTATTTTAGTTTCCGCATTTTCCTCATAATGAACCAGAATAGACGCAGTCGCTAATCGCAATATGGTATCCCAAATGCCGGCTTCTCCCTGTCACTCTATTCAAATCACTCGTTCTGCACCAAGTGTTCAGTTAGGGGTTTCGCCACTAATGAGAATCCTGCGATGAACCTCCGATATTAAGATTGATGGACGAGGATGCTCCTCAGCCTGCTTTACGTTCAATGGCGTTGAATAGTGTACCAACACCTGGGGCATTCCTAGGTTTTTTTCAGGCCTTCTGCATTGATTATGTGTCTGAAATGACGTGCTTCTTCATCTGCAGAGGTATGCTTATCGGGATCAAGGCACAAACCAGCTATTGCGATCGATCGCATCTGGCACAGTTTAAGAGAACACGAGGATATCATCCAAATAAGCCATACAATTGTCACATTTATCTCGTTTAATGCCTGCCAACAACTTGTCCATCAAGCGTTGAAATGATGCAGAAGCGTTACAAAGTCTAGACGGCACCCACTGCAAAAGTATGATCCTGCTGGCTGCACTTCTGGTTCAACCTGCATCTTTGTTCTTCCTCTGTGGGAGGGGGGAGAGACAAGCGCTCCCTCCTTTGTTCGGCTCACGTTTCCGGTTCTTTGTGGAGACGAGAACCTGCTCTACTGCCACACGTCTAAGGTGGTACGCTAGAGGAGTGCATATGCATAGTTACAGCGGGTCGTCGCTGACTGTTGCAATGTAGCATGCCCTGCTGTCGGCAACGTTGTTGTTAAATGAAGGAAAAAGAC